CATACAAAACAGAACACTTTTTAGCAATTAATACCACATATCGCTGTTATTATGACAAACTAATTAATTAATACATTAAGCGCGTAGACTAGTTTTGCACTTTGTTTGCAATGTCTTGATCATTTTATGACAATCATTTACTTACGACGGACATCAAATATTAAAGCAAACGTGCGACTATGTTCGCCATTGCGCTTAACGTATTAAAGAGCTCCAAGAGTGGAACATGAAGACATTCATGGAACTCACCCTCTGACGCAGCTCCCTCTCAGACTCCAGGTCATCCTGCAGTAGGCGGATTTTGTCCTGAAAAGAGAGGCAATGAGGATTAGAGGGTATTACGGCGCCCGTTATAGAGGGTCGACGCTTTACGTAATCGCTCGACGAAAATATCCAAGAGCGGAGGCTCGGTATTTCGGAAAGACGGACGGCCTCCACCGAATAGATTCGTCCTCGGGAGAAGGAGAGAACGACGTCGTGACGTTTGCTTTAGCGCGCCTTGCAGCCGCTCGTTGGGATTATTTCAAGAAAGCCGCGCGCTGACGCGCCAGGATAAACAGCCAGGCCACTATTTGCAAGATATGAAGAAATGATCTTACTTGGTCATGGAGACGACTGTACGCCCCCCTCACATTTCTCTTAGGACGGAATACATCCTGAAAGAGCGAATCCTCAGATCCGACGAGGAAGCCAGAAACTTTCGCGGATATAACGTAGCATCGTCAGATGGTATCGCGAAGCGGTATCGAGCCAGTGCCTTGGCACGATCGTCATTTCAGGCTGATATTCCACCGACTATTTTCGTACACGAGTAATCCGATAGCTACAGAACGGTCGTACACTTTGTTCTTCGTCGGTTTGGCACTAACATCCCTTATGGTCACTGAACTTTCGCGGTTTACTACTTTCGCGATTGGTCACTCATCCGTATTGTTCACGTGCGAATCTGTCGCGTGTCACTGTGTCTTCGGCGGTCTCGTCCTGATGACGCAAGAACTCTTGTTGCAACATTATTCTCGTCAAAACTTAGTAATTATTCGACGAGGCTATCGTCGTGCGTTTCCACAGAAAGTACTGGAGAACGTCGGTCGATGCGTCTTCTTTCGTTCGCCATCATTATACGTAGTCGTGGCCTAGTAGTCGCCGCGATATTCATCAAGTGGTTTGGCAAATTGAAAAAACGTTGTTTCGCTTAAAACTCTCTTTTACTTTCTGTACTTTTTATAAAAGTGCTTCGATTTCTTCGAATGTTAGATAAATTTTCAACATGATGCAATTCCAATGAGATGCAAGAATTTTCAATGTAAAAGAATTTCCGTAGAGCTTAATGCTAATGTGTTACAATTTATTTTACTAGAAATTTATTTATCATATTTTATTATCAATTTTACCACATCTCGACATATATGTTAACTTTCGAAGGTTTGTATTCCAATTGTTTTATTCAATGAAATTCCCGATGAGGCGGTCTTTCAGATAGTTAATTTTAGTGAGCGGTACTTGATCTATAAATAATTTTATCAAAGTTACATTTGGATTGCAATCAAAGAATGAGATTAAAGAATTTTTAGAGTAACCAACTGAAAAAAAGGAAACAGATCTCTCTTCTCGATTATCCTAGTCGTTCTCTCCTCCGTTTTTCGAAAATGGCACTTTTTCGCAGGACCTACCTCGAGTCTGCTAAGAGCGCTCAGGTCGGCGCTGTATTCGATGCTAACATCGGCGGTACCCGCACCGCCTGTAGAGCGGTACGTGTACTTGGAGGTCTTGGCAACCGCTGAAGACGACATCTTCCTCGCTTCGTCCTCTGCTTCTTTTTAGCGATAGTCTAGCTCTTTTCGTACTTTGCAGGACCCTAGTCCTTTCGCGTATCCTCAGTTCGAGCACCCTCCGTTTGTGACAGTCTTCCTGTTCGCCACTGGCAAAGTCGCCTCGGTCTCAATCGTCGTTGAGTCCAGTCCCACTTTCTTCTACGATCTTCTTCTTCTTCTTCCTTCTCTTCGGGGTTTCGGAGCTGACCAGCGCCCTACTCGTAGTGCGCGACCCGTCGTCGTTCGTTTGGCGCGCCGGCCGCTCCATAGCTTCGTCAAAATGATGATCAACGCAAGCGCACTCATGCTAAACCCCCACCAGGAACGATGAACGTGTTCGTCATCCTCGTCGTTCTTGTCATCTTCATCATCGTCGAGGGGAACTACCAAGCCACGTTAGACGCCCACGTTGTCCAAAGACAGCTGCCAAGTCTGCTTCTTCGGCTTGGCTACGATGAAGAAGAAGATATCGAAGAGAGTATCGCTCTCTGACAACTTTACTATGTTACAAGAGTCTGAAGATATCCCATCAAGGGCATGATTATATGTTCTCCAATATCTCTTGTGTTACATTCTGTTACGATCTGCGTGTTGCGATTCTTGATTCTATAATCATTGCAAGCAATCAGAAGTTAAGGACTATCGCAATTGATTACAACCAGAATTCTTTGGGTTTTCTTTGTACCTTTTATTATTCAAGAAATATGTACATATTGCTGTTTACAAATATTTTAAAACTGAAATTAAACCTTTTCTGTCTATAGTAGATAAAGAAATATTATTACGCATTAAAATTTGTGTGATAAGAAAATTCGATTAGTGTCACTATAATTTTGGATTATTTTTGGGTTATTTTGTATCACTTTTTGTTAATGCATTCGAAAGCCGGAATTAAATTGAGCGACCTACACTTCCGAAAGAGGATTTCTCGTCCAAAATTCCTGCACATGTAGATATAACTACAACGTAACCAGTCCGAACCGATTTAGTGCAGTGTACTTGAAAAGAGGCGCAGGGTCGAGTAGCATGCTTGTAATTCAACCATCGATGAAATGAATTGCCGATTCATTCAGAGATCTATTCAGAGATCTATTCACTTATAAGCTTAACGTAGGAGTAATTGCGGTGGACGAAAGAAATGTCTAGCTATCGAAGAGCATCGCTGACACATGTCACAACAATACAAAGTAGTTTTTAGATCGCAGATTCATTCGTGAGTAATTCTGTAATGGTACACATTATGACTGATACAGATAATTTAGAGCATTTATAGAAAGTAGACGAAAGTTGGCAATAAAATTTGTTTAAAAATAATTCTGCGGTAATGCATAGTCATCTATGTACATTGTCAAAATAATATTTAATATTGTTGTCAAAATAAGAGAGAAAAGTTTTTAAGATATAAATACTTTATGAATATGTTACTGCATATAACACAAATATGTTACAACAAAATGTTGTAATATATATTGTAATTATATATTGTTATAAAATTATTCTATTGCTAATGAAAGTGTAATAAATTACAAAATAGTGCATATTCTCTTAATTTTAATTTTGCGTTGTACTGCTTGATTTCCACGAATTTGCTAGAAATTTCTGACGATCTTATTACAGGTCTAAAATCACGCCAGACGTTTTGGTATTCACAGACAACGTTACTGACAATGTGACAATGAGACACGCAAATGCCGCACATGGTTGTGCCATCATCAGACTGGACAAGAAAATCAAAGTATTTATTCCATTTGGTTCATTTAAGCTTTATGAAAATAATTGTCAAAATCTTAAATAATTTTAAATCTGTTTCCTGATTGTATTTTATAAATTTTTGCGGTAAAATTAAATCTTTTAAAATATACTTAACATGTGTTTTAATACTTAAATATTGTACTTGACATTTTTGTTATAAATCAATTAAATATTTGATCATAATAATTTAATATTTGATGATGTTTTTACCGCAAAAGAATGTATTAAACCTTTGTTTTTATTCTAAATTAGCAAAATTTTTAAAAATAACATGTCTTAAAATAAAATACAATATTTTTTTTAAGTGCAAAATATATTTGACAGTATTTGTCTTAAAAATATTTACGGCTTAAACCGATGGAACAAGCAGACTTAGAAGATATGCAGAGGAATGTGTATAAATATTTATTTTTGTTTTTTATAGCTCATTTAATCGTAATTTAGGAACAAAGACTGAGTCTTTTCCAAGAGATATGCTAAAAATATTTAATTGAAAGAATTTTTTATTTGTTAATCTTTAAAATATTTATTTTATTCTTAATTATGAAAAAATTCGATTCTACATTTTCCATAAAATCTTATACTTATTTTAAACTTTCTTAAATAATAGCTTGTTTTAAAAATGAGAGAATTTGATTAACGTTACGACAAATTGCAATGTAAAAATAAATGAAGATTGCACATAAAAATTCATATAATTTTACTTTTTTTATCAAATTATATGGATTTTCCATTCATTCCTAAACGGATCAACCAATTTAGCAAATTATATCGCAAAATCTTATAAAAAAAATTGCAAGAAAGTAGAAAAGGCAACAAATACAACAAAGATCTCGAGTAATAATTGCGAATTATTTTTTAGAATAAAGATCCAGTGCTGCTGAAATCTTCTTTCATTATAGCGCTATATTATACCCACTAATGTGACTTTTTTTATTTTACAGTATTTGTATGAGAAGTGCAATTAATATTTGACAGACTGAAGGGCAAAGACTTCTCTATGCCGCTTCAACATCTGCGCTTCGTTAACGTTTCTTCATTCCGTTCTCCGATATCGGTCAGCATGATTGTGCGGCTGTTCCGAGTGCGCCTTCTTTTTTCGTTGGATCGTCAGTTTTCACAAAATTTCCTCGATCTCCCACTTCGCCCCACTACCGACGAGTGTCTATAAAAGGTCGCCAGGCCGATGGTGGGCAAAGATGTTCGGTCGGCCTACCTCGGAGCTTACCAAGTAATTTGAGATTGGCCCCTTCTCTGCATGTTCTGTGTTCATCGCTTCCTCCACTCTTTACCACCTCCTTCTTCGAATGTGTAGCTCGCTCTGGTGGATTCCAGGTGTCAGAGAGAAGAGGTGGCACATCATCAAACTAAATGCGAAAATAGCTCTCTCATCTGTCCCTCTTCTCTACCCTGTCTCTTTCAAGCAGACTAGGCGCACTCTCGTTTTTCTTCCTCTAAATTTCTTAATTTATATATCGATCTCTTTTACTTTATCTTCCAACTTAGCACAATAATTCGAGGAGTTTACTTGAAACTGTTGCAACAACTTTAAGCTGATAAAAATACACGAAATTTAAACGTACAAATTTCTCTGTTACATTTTTAAATTAAAGTTAAAGATTAATGCGTAATAAATGTAGTTATGCAAAGCGCATAGAGGGAATGCTTTCGTGTCCATCGCAATTTATTAATATCGCGTCCCGTTTTCATATTATAACATAATTTTCGGCTGTTTCTTATAATTCCGCACCTGCCACACGCATTTTGCTCTATAAATATAGAGCCTATTGGTTTAGAATTCAGGAAGAGAGCAACAGGTGGCTTTTTAAGCGGTCACTAGAAATATACTAATGATGAAGTTGCTCAATTTATTATAAATTGTGCAAACTATATCTGGCGGAAATAAAAATTGGATCTAATTATTTTATTTTAACATTATAACACATATTTTACACAGTTATAAAAATAAAATTAGTTATTACAAATATTAATATAATATGTTCGTGTTATTGATAAATTATTACGATAAACGATGTATGACTAAAATAACTCACAAATCATTGGGAATACGAATCATCGGTGATTATTAATTTATCTGCTGTGTATGGTTTCTAAAAATAGTTCAGCTATCATAAACAATACATCTGTTCCAATTTTACGATGTAAATACAGCCGGCGCATGCTAATACGTAATTTGCAATTTTGATGAAAATTTACATGTAACAGCATTGCAAATAATATAAAAAAATTTACGAAATGTATTTGACTTTTTATCATATAAAGTTATATTAAACTATGATAAATTATATTAATTTCACGCTTGTCACACACAGGTTTGTAATATAACTTTTATTGAAGTACGAAGTTGCTCACATTATAATAACGATTAAATATCATTTTTATATTACATAAATTTAACAAATTTTTTATTATTAGAAACGAAATGCTATCTTTAACACAAAAATTTAATTCATCGATTAAAGTGTTCGTGAATTTTGACAACGTTGACTCATCGTCCAAAATTGCCACTAAAAACTTAGACCAAAGCTCTTCAGTATTGGTACAGACGCTCGGGATGACTAAGACGCTCTATTCCTGTCTAAAAGAATATTCTTTTATATCGTCTGAGAAAGTGAGGTAAGTAGTATGAAATATCAGCTCCTCGTCAATCTTGTGTTAATTAGTGCTCGGAGACTTTAGGTGGTCGAGCAATTTGGATAGTTTGGATCTCGATATGGAATATTCAATAATTTGTAAAAACTTTCTAAGAGTTTCATAGAAAGGAGTTTAATTAAAGTTTTAAATAAAAATTTTTGACATTATTATCAATACCAAAAAAATTGAAAAAAATTTACACATATAGCATAATTCATAAATTGTATGTTTCGGTGACAAACTTTTTCGGATTTGTGATATAAGGACATGAAAAGAGAGTTGGCTTTCTTATGGTTCTTAAGTCGTATTATTTGTAATTAATTATAGGTGTAGAACGAGTAGTTGCGACCAGCTCATGACACAACCGAGGATTACGGAGAATCGATCAATGTCGCTGCAAGCGTGGATTTAGGTAACGAGTTTAAGCCTGACATTCTTCTTAATTTCGTCCTGTGTTATGGTCCAATGGTGTCGAGGTAGCATGTGAGAATATATTAGAATAATATTACACATAAACTGTACTAAATTTGCCACTACTTTTTTATGATATATTCTAATGAATAATATAATTTGAATAGAATAGTTATTGTTAAATTATGAAGAGTACATAATACATTTTTACATCATATATCTAATACATATAATATACATTTAAATTATTATATATTATTATTAAACATACTTGAAATTTTATGATTAACAGAGAAATATTATTTTTTAAATATAAAATCAATTAAAAACACATAATATTTTTATTGTATTGTTGTCTATCTAAAGCTTTGTAGTGCATTGTTGTTACCAATGTCGATCTAAAGCTGTAGAGCTTGTAGAGCTTTTGAAGATATTCTTGTAGCGCCACCAGCCCAAAAAGCTCTCAACTTAACTTTAGTCTCCACCGATAATTTGACCGTCAGTTCTCTTTTAAAATACAGTATTTATCCTTGGATCACGAAGACTGACGAGATGAGATCGTTTTAATGTTTTACGTCAGTCGGCAGCACAAAGTCTAGATAGATATTATAATCTTTTTTATAAATGTTATATAATATTTAATCAAATACACAATATATAAAGTTAATTTATAGCCTACTTACTTTTTTATTCTCTTTCTTCTTTTTTAAATTAACATAAGTACTATTTACAACATTACATATCATACTTTATATGAATAAATGTATAATTTGTTCTTTTTTATCGTTCCAACGGTAAAAGTGTAAATCCTGTTTCGGAATATCGATTTCTCAAAAGGAATTTCTGCTTTTGAGAAATTCTGTGGACTTCTTGTATGAAGAGACCATTCCGTTGTATGAGAGAGTATTCAGCCAGTGGAAATGGCTTTGCGGCAACATTGTCTTCATTTCCTGGGCAAAGATGGCAATAGTTTCGTGAATAGTTTGTTCTGGTTTCGAATGGACTGCTTCCTACCAGAAAGGATTTGAGAGCTCTTCAAGATCTGATGACTAGAACTGTAGAAGTTGAATAATCCGACCTAGCCGTTGAAACTTGCCCAATTTGTGCAAATCCCAACATGCAGATACTATTTGATAATACATTAGAAAAGCAAAAATACTAAAAAATATGAAAATTTGTTATAAAAATGCATAAAATTAAAAAAGTAAAAATTTTCCAAATTTGTACTAAATCTATAAAGTTGTTATACAATCTAAAGTGCAATAAAGAAAATTTTTCATTAATTAAACGTAAACATTCAAACATAAAACAGTGGTAATATGAGTGTATTTATAATTACTAACAATAGCAAAATTTACTAAAATTCAAGATTTAATAAATTTATATAAAAATTAAAATTTATATTTTTAAGTTTGCTTTCTTGGTTTAACCAGACGTAAGATTAAGTTTATACAGAGCATGTTGGACATTTCTGTTTATTCTTTTATCATTGTTCAGTTGACTGCGCTGGTATCTTCATTAACCACTCTTGTCATCATACTACGATCTTGTTTACGCCCGAGCGGAAATGCACGTACTCGCGCGCGAGATTTATCCTGATCCCTAAGTCTCTCCCCTCAAAGTCGCGTCTTCCTCACAGCCGGCGAAGCAGAAGACGAAGAAGCAGAAACGAATAGAAAGCGAGACAGAGAAGATATAAAGCTATTCTTAAAATAGGGCTCGAGTGAGTACCGTGAGTGCGACAAAGAGCAGCTCATCGTGTAGCTCCACGAGGCGAGCAAAAGGGAAGCTGTGAAGAAGGATGAAGAGGAGACGCAGAAAGCGCAGAGTAAGAAGAGAAAGAGAAGGAGGGCGAGAGAGAAAGAGAGGGACCACGGCGTGCCTCGCAGGTCGCCGGCTCTTCAGGGTCCGAGCTTCGTCCGAAACGAAGCGCCTTCACAGCGCTCGCCACTTTCCTTTCCTATGAAGTCGCGGAGCAACCTTTCTCGAAAAACAATCGATCGGTTCTCCACTCGTCGATCTTAGTAACGTGACCTCGCGTTTTCTTCAACATCTCGTTGCAGTTTGCGGTCAGGCGACCGGTGCCGGTGAATCGTGTAACGGTGGTGTGGATGCTCCTGTGCTCGATGGTGGTTGATGAGCCTGGCCGCAGGAAACACTTCTGAGGACTTCTTCCCTCTTCCTTAAAAATTATCTCGCCGTCTCGAAGAGGAACGCAGGATTATGGCATCGTACAGAAGCTACGTAAGTTTGTGCGTCTTTCTGTATTCGCCGTCGACCGATTTTCTCAAAGATTTTTGATTCGTTAATTCGCTTTAACAATGAATAGGACAACAATAAATGAAATTGATGTTATTGCAAATCGTGCGGTTCTTACGATGATATTTGCTTTCAATTGGAGCACACCGAGCGGAGCTATTGGTTGAAATAAATAGCAACTAGTCTACATTTGCATACGGGTCTGAAAAGCAGCACTCACATTATTTCAGCTTTAGAATATAATGGATTATTACTGTTATTTTATTTTGTATTATTGTAAAAAATGCTTAATTGATTATTAATTATTATTTTCTAACGTATGATGCTGGTTCTAACGTAATCGCTTGTTGCATTAAGCTTATATTGTTTTGTTTAGTAAGATTGAAAAATCTGATACATTTCAATATATATTTGTTTGTATATATTATTGTTATAAATTTCTCCTATAATTTTTATATTTGTTTTGTTCGCGCGTTTATGTTTTCTAACAAACTGATTAATTCTTAGTCGCGTAGACTCGTAGCAAACGAACGTGTACAGTGTAAATGAGTGTTTTAAACATACCGTATATTCAAAGGGCACCTTTGCTGTTGGTTCTGGTCGTTGGTCCTCGCGTATAATTTAAGTGCTGATTCTGCTTTCGTTGCAATTATGCAATGTAAATGAAGTCCATTAACTTTATCGTCTAAAGATTCAGGTCGCGCGTCCGTTTATTCCTGTGGATCAAACCCGATGTTTGTAAAATGTCTAACAATAAGTCAAAAAGCTCCGTCAATAAAAATGACATTAATTCATTTCAGTCACTTGCAAGTTGCAAGTTTGACTTGGACAGCGACATAATTTATCGAGTTGTGCATCGTAATGCATAATTTTGCGTAACATGTTCACATGACTTTCATCTGTTCGACGAATTATCCTTGTAGACAAGCTAAAAGGATATTCTTTCACTATTCTGGCCGCTGATTGTATCAATTCATACTTTTTGAACCATAAATTTTTTATTTTTAGTTTAAAATGGAACGACACGATGCTGTAATACTTCCAACGCGAAGTTGTAGATTTCGCGAGCTCGTAATTAAATTCACCCTTTATTACGAATATTTCGTTAGAATTGTGCTTGACTTTGCTGCATTATATAGTGGAGAATTCAGCGTGCAGGAAATGAAATTTTGCAAAACGGCAGCCACATTTAGGAATACGGTAATACTAGTGTTGGTAGATACATTTAATTATTTTAGCCGAGTTAATAAATTTATGCAAAATATAACTTTTTAGAAAGTCATGTAATCAGATATTATGTGTAAAAAAAAGTAATATATTGCCACATGTAATTAGTTTAATTTTGTAGTTATTCTAAAATATAAAAAAAGTAATTATATTATTATATTTTTGTACAAATGTCGTGTGCAATAAAAAATAATACTAACTGAAGTAAATAAAATTTACCTTCATACACAAAGTGGAAAAATAAATTTTAATTACGCATTTTTTACATTTTCAAAAAATATTTTACATTTATTGTCAGACTTTTTCTACAAATAAATATTAGTGTCTATAATAAATTTTTTCTTTAGATATTTAAAAGTTTTTTGAATTTATAATTTAAAATTGAAAACTATTGAAAAGGAAGTATTAATGTTTTTTTTGTTTCTCAAATTATGCAAATAGTTCATTAAACAAATAAGTACAGCACTTCTAAAGCTGCTACTTTTTATTTCGAGACAAAATAAACTTTTTCAATTGCAACTTTGTATTAAAGATCAATACCTGTGTGTCTATTTTAGAGTTTGAAAGATATAAGTATTTAAAGATTACAATTTTGAAGTTAAATAATGTATGTCTCCTCAATACAATATAAAGTACACTGCGACGAGAGAAAAAAGTCCTACGCAATCAGTAGATACAGACTAGTCGTGTCAGACTACGAACGCCGCGGACGTAAAAGATCGATCACGGCTCGCCGGAAAGCGCAGCACGGTCGGGGCGTAGCTCGATCGTTTATCGAAGGAGGTCGAAGCAATCGTTAGTGACTTCCAAGTATGAATCCCGGCTGCACGCCTCCCAGAAACGTTTTCGTGCATCGGAGCGCCATGGGTCGCCCCGGCGCAGCGCGGCGCGGCTAGCAAAATTAGCCGGGTCTTTCCCAGACGATGTCTACCCGTGCCATGCGTATATATTCGTGTGTAAAGCTTTCTTCGAATATACGCTTGCGATTGGCGCTGGAGGCGATACGGTGCACTGGGTGTCGAATTTCAAAGCGGGTCAAGAGATTCGGCTACGCCGAGTTGCATAAGGGATTCGTCTTTCGAGCGATTCGCATCAAGTTTGATACAGGATACGCGTCGAGCACAGACGGAGCTTCCTTCTGAAAGCTTCTGAAGCTTGACAATGAAGTTTGCTGTCGTCAACCAATAAAGATCTTTGTACGCGATCTGGATGCAGAGTATACTCTTGGGCCCGGGGGCCGTCTCTTTCTCTTGAGTTCTTTCGGATGACTGGAGCTTGGCACAATGTGCAAACAGAAGTACGCATCGATGTGCATGTGAGATAGACAAAAAATTTGTCAAAGACAATTCTTTCTTTCACACTCGAATCACTTCTGCTTTTGCAACCAAATATCGTACTCTAAATTAGATTGGCATAGTGTTATTCATTTAACTTTAGAATAAAAAAAATAAATAAAATAATGAAAACATTTTAGAACAAAGAAACAACTTTTTGGAACTAAAAACTGATTGTTATTTTGCATTGTATTGTTTTCTAAAAATTTTTTTACTTTCTGCCAGTTATTTTAATATTTCTAAAACTAAATTAAGTTTGGTTTTTACAACATTTTCTTTAATCGTCATTATAAATGCATAAAAATAGCTGATAAAGAAACGATAAAAATTTTGAGTGCAATATATAACATGCTGCAAAGTATGAGTTAAGTATCAAAGCTTTTATGTTCAAAAATATATTACATCACGCTGTGTCCTCATTTCAATTTTCTTCGTACTTCTTTTCATTCTTCAAAGCACTTCACACTTGTGATAAATAAAGACTTTCTCTCAGTTGATTCATTAGCGTAGACTCGTCTTTTTATAAAAATCACGTATAATAATAGTAATATCTCGACCGATTAACTACCCCGGTGTAAAGTAAACGACACGAGATGCATTCGATGAAACCGTGGATAAATTTAGACTTATAATGTGTTTGCGCTCTACTTCCTAGACAAGACATCAGATGCGTTAGGTCTCAAGCTCAGAAATGGCTGACCGATTTTATGTGTTTAAAGCGTGCAATGGAAGTTGCGGTCGTTTCGGTTTTATTTATTCTTGCAGTTTATGCGATTTGATTACTTATTTAGTTTTAGAAAGAAAAAGAAAATCTTATTAAATGCTTTGTATTAATATTGACAAGCGAAAATGGTTATTCAATGTGACGAAAATAGTGGGAATACGATTTTGTCTAAAGGTGAAAAGTAGTTGAAGCAATATAGCTCGTTAATAATTTTCCCCCGGCACATAGCACGCGCACTCAAAGATTGGAATGGCTTGAAAACGTTTGAACGTTTGAATAAAGATGCAGGGCAGAGCAACTGCGGAACATAGACTGAACGGAGAAAGGGATTTAACGGCTTCTTTGAATATTCCAGACGGAGCGATCGTGGCTGCAAACGATGGTGCGAATGCTTTTAATCGAGCGTATCATTCTTCTTTCTTTTATATCTGCTTCATACTCCTTTTACCTTTGCGTCGCAATAGAGTCAGATATTTATTGCCACGCAACTTGAAACCTCTCGGAAAAAAAATAGGAACAGTATTCTCGCCATGCGGATTTAGCTGTCGTGATATTTCTTTAAGAGACTTTTGAAAACACTACGAACTGCATAATGGAATATTAAACAATTGCTTTAAAACCGTCAGAAAGAATTATTCTCAAGAAGCAAGAAAAATTGTCTAAAGAAGTCCGAAAAGTTTAGTTGCTAGCTGTTTTGTTAAAACTGCATGAAAATTTAATTTTTCCGTAAAATAGCATTGCAAATATCTTCTTTCATGTCAAATTGTAAATTTGAAATATTAATAACAAGATACAATCGCGATTACAATATAAATTGCAACTTTTTATAATGTAAATTATAACAATAATGTAAAATTCTAAATTCTCATTACAAAAAATTAATTGCAATATTAGTTGCAAGTTGAGAAGATAAGCTGTAAATCCACATTTTTTCGTTGAATAGACGCAAGTTGGAAAAATTTATAGCGCAAAATTAATTAACGCTCTTGACAACTTCATTATCTTACTTTCTCTGAAAAAAAATATAAATGTAAAGATATATAGCTTTTATAATTTCTCGCATGTCATTGATAGAATGCAGCAAGAATGAATATGCACGCAGATGCTGCAAAGTGAGAGAGTATGAATGGCTACAAGCGAGAACCCGCTGCTATATTTAAACGTCGTCGTAGACACGGCTTTGCCCTTTTTTACCAAAGCGACAGTGGAAGTAGACGGACCACGGCTTCTGAATTTCGAAAGAGTGCGGAACTGTCAAATATTATGCATATTAGAAGAGGCAAGCGCATGTACGAGAGAAACTAGTTAAAGCATGCCATTGAATTAAGCATAAGTCTTCGTGAGAGAACGTTAGTTTACTTAGCCAAAACTACCACGTGTTTACTGACTTTGCTCGATACAAAGGATGCACGAAGAACAGCTGGTTTAAATATTATATTCATATCTAATGCAAATGATTCACGATGATGTCATTAAAGAAAGTTAAAGCATAAAATGGCTTTGTTATTTAAATTTTGTTATTTAAACAGCAGCGAATGCTCGTATTATTTAATTCCATTTAGGAATCGAGTTCCAAATAACATTTAGAAATCTCAGTATTAGCATTTTTTATTTTATGAAATAAATTAATTTTAAGACCGATATTTCAGGATATCAAAATTTGCAAGAACCATGAACAAAATTATATAATATGTTATAAT